ACTATTTTCGTAGAATTTAAACATGAAGACAATTTTAATATAACAAACAGAATAAAAAAATGAATTACTTAAAATTGAGTCTAAGCCTCTCAAAGCTCTCTGGAATACTCAAGAATGTCTCCCAGCAGTGGCTGTAAAATCATTCTAACTACTGTAATGCATTGCCTTTCTGAATTGACTTTTTTTCTGATACTTTGATCTTATTTCTACCAAGAATAGTCTCATATGGCCAATATTTATAAACATTTTATCTTGTTCCATAAAAAGGTAACATGTCCTGTGTCCTGTTAGATATTTTAAAACTACCCTTCTCCACTTACTAATGTGCAGACAATCTCTATTAGTCAAATCTCTTTTGAGTGATGATTCTTCAGTCTTCTATGTGAGAGATTTAAAAATCTCCTATTAATTTGATGAACGTTTCTAATTTTAGAACCCAAATACTCAAGCTTTAAGCAGTTAAAGAGAAATTCAACAAAACAGTTATGAAAGCAAGATACTTGCCAGTATGCTTTGGTATCATTCTCACACCAAAAAATAGATTATTTATTCACAATTTGATGAGATGAAAAAGTTAAAAATTAGATGGAAAGAAAACTACACCTAAATCTGTAAATGAAGAATGGCCAAGGAATTGTTTCCAGATGAATTGAAAGGAAAAATTGAGATCAATTAAGAATCAAGGGTTGAAAGAAAAGAAAGTAGAAAAAAAGAAACATTCTGGGGAGACAAGAGATGTGTTCAGACCTGGAGGAAAAACAGCTAAAGGACAGTTATATAAACAGAATGCACCCTCAGTCATTGGGTGCAGTGGTTGGAAACAACTCCAGGCACGTGGAGTTCAACACCAGACAAAATGTGTTGAAAAGTCGTTATTTTAAGTCAGTGTGGAACATTAAAGACATTTCATTGTAAATTTTTAAATCACATTTGAAACTCAACGGAGCAAAAGTGATGGAAGAAGAAGAGGTCTGGAGAGGGTGGATAGGAGAGTGGATTTGGTGAGCATATTTGGAGCGTGGTCGTAGTCTCGTGAGAAGAAGTAATGTTCGGTTGGAGAAAGGGAGTTACACTATGTTCAACCAGTAGTTCCTTCCTCCCACTTTTAACAATCTAATTTTTGTTTTCTCTAGTTTTTATAGTGAATAACTTCTCCAAAGTCCAAATTACCTTCTCAGAGAAAAATCAGAATACCTTTGCTTTTCTGTATATTAGATCCAACCTGACACAGGGTTTTGTTCAGTCATTGCCAATGTCCACTCCATCATCTTTCACCATTGTACTTATTTTTGTGCTGCTGGCCATCTGGCCCAGGGCCCTTTGCATGCTGAGCAGTGCTCTGCCTCTGATCTACACCCCAGTGTGTCAGCTTGCCCTTTTATTTTTTGTCCTCAGAAAATTAAACAGATAAGATACTTTGATACTGGAACCTTTTGTATATTCAGTGCATACGGAAAGTGGAGGCTGAAACAGTTTCTTTGTGTCTGTGCAATTCCACTTTCTTGATTTGATGAATTTAGTTGAACCCCAAACATAGTTGAAAAACTGACTGTAGAGTCACAAGTTCAGTATTAGGAAGTGACCATCTACCTGACTATGTAGTCTTAAATTGACAGAAAGGTCTCTTTTCTGTTTGCCTAGCTTGTGAACTACTTTCCTGATGGTATGCTCTGACAGGAAGAACTTCTTGAGTCCTAAGAGTCTTTTTACAGTTGGTTTCATCAGTGCTTCCAAGGGATATTAACTCTTATACAGCTTAGTTTCTACCTTGAATTTCTCTAAAGGATGCCTACACAGAAATTGCTACATTTGGAATTTTAGTGTGATATAGATATTGCGTTGGAACCATGTGCTGCCCAGTACAGTATGACATTAAGTAAAAATCAAAACACCTCTTTGTATTTGATTTGGTCAAAGGTAAAAATGTAGTGGGCAATTAAGAAAAGAGGAGGGTTTATATGAGCGAGAATTGTTGAAACCAAGGTTGGATAAAGCACAGGGACAAACAGCCAAACGAATGGAAACACATGAACTATGAACCAATGGCTGAGGGGCCCCCAACTGGATCAGGCCCTCTGAATGGGTGAGACAGTTGATTGGCTTAATCTGTTTGGGAGGCATCCAG